CTCTCTCTCTCTCTCTCTCTCTCTCTCTCTCTCTGATTAACCATAATTTATTTTTTTGAATGTGTTATTTTTCTATCTCTGTATTTGTTCAATGGCTTTCAACGAAGACACATCTTCCAATAACAGAACAGAGCATCCCCATTGTTAACTTGTTGAGTTATGATACTGCACATGCTAAAGGCAGACTGTCTGAGATTATATCCAAACTACTTCCTTCTCAAGTCATATCATACAAAGATCAGCAAGTCAGCAGAGTGGTGTTCGTTGCCTTTTAGCTACAGCCAATGCAATACCAGCAACAACATAATAAGAACAATGTCAATAGGTTTCCAAAATAAGTGGGTATAAAATAAGACCACAATTGCAGCTCTGTGAGGCTGGGCACAGAGGTGTGTTAAGTTAAATGCATGCAACATCATCATAGACAAGTTCAAATGTTGAATGGTTGGTGACACTAGAGGAAAAGTCAGGGGATCCAGGAACTCATGGGAAACATCCTCTGGGGACCATGAATATCTGGACAAATTTTAAAAAACTCAATATGAAGATTAACTAGATCAACTGAATTATTTTCTCTAATAAAAATCTTACCAGCTGCAGTGCTCTGTGGTGGCCCCTGTTAGTGGGGTGGTGGTAGAAGATCAGCAGCCACAGAAGGGGGCCACAGTCCTCAGGCTCCGATGTCACCAGCAGCTGGACAGCCACTTGCACCCAGTGGGCACACTGAACCAGCAGGAACCAGGCCTCGAACACTTTGTGGTACCTCCTACAGAACCGGAGCAGAAACAGAGCTCAACACTAAAGGTAGAGAGCTAATATTCCCTCTAGGCATCATGGGATCTGTGCTGCGGTGGCAGAAGTGCGTGGATAAATGACACTGCAGCACACCTTATATTTATGAAAACACAAGGGGTCAAGGGGACCAATGGCCCCTTCGTCCTCCTGTCCACAGACAGAAACATATAACAGCTGGCCACTCACACACACACAGCCCCACAAGGTGAAAACTATACCAGCGACACGGTCACGGCAGGTATTCATTTATAGTAAAAATCACCAATTATCTTGAGATTACGAATTCCGTCTCGACCACGGAGCAGTGCGGTATTACAAAGTCCACATACTTGTGGCCTTCATCAACAGTTGGAGTTTCATGTGACCTGATATTTTATATATCTACATGACAACTGAGCAAACTTAATCTGCCGATGAAGGCTATGAGATAGGGATGAAAACTATGGAAGTAGACATCGTGATGAGGTTTGTTTTTGTCAAATCAATTGTAATTTGTAATGGTGGGTTAAAAACAAAGCATTATACTTGATGTTATAAGTTCACCATTCTTTAAACAGTAACAATATCTATAAGCTAAGCAGATTTGGGAGGTTTAATTTAGTTCCTAAATAGCCGGCCACTTCCCAGCTTCCCAAGGTATGTGTATGAATATGCACGACTTTCTCCTTCTCCAAGTCCTGACCCAAACTGCTCGAGTAAAATGTCATCCAAATAAATGATACACACATAATATAGTCGTGGTTCAAACAATTAAAAAAAACGTAACGGCATAAAGGAGAGAAAGTCGAGGTGTTTCAATACATTTTGACAAATGAAACGCAACCGTGATGTTGTTTCACAAAAATGTTCATTACATTATTGTGTTCCCAGTGTGCCACACGGACCATCTAACAACAGGCTGTCTGTGGGCATCTACATCAGAATAGCTTCATCACTGAGCCGCCACTCTGAGTGGCTGCCAGTAATGTCCGTCCTGCCCCACTGACAACACATGATCAAAGAGAATCAGAGCTTTTATACCGATACTGAATCCCATCATTTGTCCCCAGTTGTTCTCACACTGAGGGCCAGCTGTGATTCAACTGGTGTACAATAAAACGTGATGAGGACCCGTTTTATGCTTTTATAGCACTTAAGAAACATCTCAAACTACAACATTGAGACAAGTTGTGTTTTGTCTAAAACTACCTTTTCACATTCATGCCCAGTTACATTTATAATACTTCACTTTCTCTTCCCTCAGTACTGCAAGACGTGGAACACAGTCCTGCCAGAAACAAGGCCGGGCACAGAATACAGGATAGCAAAAGTAAGAACAAGACTAGAGCTAAGACGACTCGTCCATGACACAAGTTTCTCTAGGTTTTCAAGCAAAAATGCCAAATATTTTATAGATAGAACTGCAAAGAAGTGGAATAAAAGGAGAACTCGGATAGATTTGTGTGTATAAACCTTGTTTGGATTCTAAATGTGGTGAAACGGACGCCGGCTCTCTCCTCTTCTTCCTCTTTGGTTGAGCCCAATGGTTTCTTCTTCTACATTTTGGTTTTAGCTTCCTAACTGCATAGCTTTTTATCTTTTCCTTTTCTTAGCTTACAGAATATATTTGCAGGTTTAGACCTTTGGTAGAAAGAAAAAAAACAAAAAACAAGTGATTTGAAGATAATGTAATGGGCATTTTTCCCTCTTCTCTCACAATGTACAGACAAGAGAATTAATTACATGTCGCATATTAATAAATAATTAAAATAGTGTCGCAGATTAATGTAAAATTTTAAAAAAGTGCACTTATTTGAAGATTGCAAGATGGACTTAAGGACCAGATAGAGAGCTGCTGCAGAGCAACACAGCTGAAACAACGAGGCAATAACTTAAAGAGTGAGAAGGATCTCTCATCGAATTTCCCCAACATCATCATCATCATCATCAGGCTCTCTTCCTCATCTTCTCTCTTTCCCCTTGGCTCCTAAATACCAACAGCAGCCCCCTCCTGCAGAGCACTGGCAGTTGCATCTTCGCTCAGAGCAACACACCATTCTACTTTTTCACCGTTGGCTCGGAACAATGTTTTGGGAATTGTTCATGGAGAATGGAGCAGTGGTGAGGATAATGAGCCCCGTTAAAAACCGCAGCAGGAGCGTATCCAGCCAGCTGCTCCATCTCTCAGACATCAACTGCTTTTCATCTGCATCCTCTTTTTCTCTAAATGCGTGCAACCAAGGCTCCTCACTCTCAGCGTTTCTCCATTTCATACTAATATGGTATGTTTTTCTCTAGTTCTTCTTCTGCATTCATGTTCTCACTCTTATTGGGCTTTCCAACATGACAGCTCTCACTTTCCCAAGCTAATAGCCTCCGAGCATTGCACCGGGAGCTCTCTGCTGTGATGCAAGGGGAAAATATCTGACTCACCACCCCCTCAACAGCAGTTAATGGAAATAAGGACACCACACAGGCATTCAGTGAGGTGGTAGATGCAGACATACATTAACACATTCCCTCTGCAAGCCTTTCTCACTCTAATCTGGTGCTACTGCTGTTGTCTCCGTCTCCCTCCTCTTCCTCCTCTGTCAGTCTCTGTAATGAGCCGCTGAGCCAGTGCAGGTGACGTCTGAGAGCCTCTTGAGGCATCTCTGCAAAAACAGATTCAGAAATACAGACATAATGATTACTTGTAGAACATGTAAAATGAATTAGTATTCACAAAATGCAAAGCCTTTCTTGTTAAAGGAGCAGTTTAAAATGATGGGAATACAAGAATTTGCTTAATAGTTGAATAGGAAGATTGATACCACCCATAGCGAGGGGGAGAGAGAGAGATTCAGCTTTATTTTACAATCTGATTTTGAATCCTTTGTCTTTTCTGCTCATCCGGGGCCAGGTTGTGGGGGCAGCAGGCTTAGCAGGGTATTCCAGACATCCAGGCAACATTTTCCAGCTTTTTCTGGGGGACTCTGAGGCGTTCCCAAGCCATACAAGAGGTGTGATCTCTGCCGCGTGTTCTGGATCAGTGGGACGAGCCTGGAAAACCTCTAAAGTGAAGCGTCCAGGAGGCATCGTGATCAGATGCCCGAACCACACACACACACCGGACACCCACTGGACATGTGTTTAAAGGGCCGGAGTGGTGCTTGTCAAAAACAAAACTCACGAACCAAATGTTGTACTAAAACCCCACTTAACTGACACTTCAGGTTAACAAACAAACTTAAAGAAACTTAACCAAATATATTTTGATCCAGCCCCCCCCCCCCCCAGCTATATTTGAACAATGCCATGCTAGGTCTTGATTTATAACTTTTTCACAGGAAGCCCAAATCCTGAAGAGACATCAAACCTTCTACTCTTCACAGTACCGTTTACATTGAGTCTCCAGCGAAAAATGGCCCTTCACCACATGCGCACACGCGCACACGCGCACACACACACACACACACACACATACACAGTAATAATTAACTCTGCGTTCTGGCTGGGCTCCAGCGTGTCCCTAAATGGCTGCATTCATGTAAATCATTCCTGCCTACAGGCCGGTCTGGGCACACACTGATAAGCCCTGCTCCACCGTTCCCCTGCGCTCACCTATTGTGCATCGGTTCAACAGTAAAGATTCCTAGACATAAACACCGGTAATGCATATTCAGTACAGATTAAATATATATTCTTCTAAATAAGAACAACAATAAGGTGCATTAGTGTGTTTGTATAAGACAATCAAGAGTTTCAGTTATTCACAACAAATGTATCTTGTAAAAAACAGGCGACTCGTTAAACGTCTGCATAGATTTGATATAAGCAACGACACTAAGCATAACTTCTGTTCAACGTTATTTCAACTTTTATATCCAACATAAAAACGTTAACACAGTTGCTGACTAACTAAAATTGATCGTCAAGACCGAGACACACAAGAGTCCATTCAGTCTGCAGCAGGAAACCTTTGTTGACACACAGTTAAAGAATACCTGAAGAGAGCTTTTCTCACAATGCGGGGTTTTGTACATTGTGTCAGCGTCAAATATCCGGACACACGCACGCGGATGAGTGTGTGTGTGTGTGTATATACTGACCTGACGGCCGGGTCAAGAGAGGAAGCAGCAGACTCTGAGGTGACTGTGGAAACATGGCCTTCAGGGATACGCGCGTCTGAAACAACGCAAAGCACACATTTTCCTGAGCTTCATAAACGTAAATTATATTTACCTTGAACTCATACATCGCTGTGCTCTGAAAGCCTGAAAAATGGCATTTTGAATGGGAGTCTGTGTAACAGTGATACAGTAGGTGCTAATGTGTAATGTAGCGTGTAATAGGTAGCGTTTAGTGCAGTGTGACTACAGCCATTAAAACAGATTCCACTGTAAATACACTATAGCACTGCCACCTACTGGTTAACAGGGGTGACAAGGAGTTGAGCTATATTCACCAAACCGGTCAGCAGGTAAGACATAGAACCTACGTCGTAACACACATTATGTTTTCTAGCCTTTTGACAGTAATGGCTCACATATGAGTGCCAGAAAGTTCCCTACAGTCACACAGGGTATGTTGATTGAGGTCCCCTATACCACAACAACAGACTCGTGTATATCTGAGAGAATCTGTGGGGGCTGAGAGTTTTAGTAAACTGCCACATCAGTGTAACAGCTCACAGAGGTTTCCACACATTGCAGGCGTTTCATTTGTATAAAAGTTATTACCCACAAATTGATGCTTTAAAAGCGATTTGCCTTTCTTGTCGACGAGGAAAAGGTGTGAACCATGGTGTGTGTGTGCAGTGAGTGTAGCAAGCTCTCGGCTGGAGATGAAGGGATAATGGTGTGGAGGATTCATCAAATGTTGAGTGATTTTGCCTGCAGAGGGGAGCTAATTGTTCATCGCCCTGTGTGTGCATCCAAGTCTGCGGCATAGTAGAAGTAACCTTCCTTTCACTTCAGGCAATAATAATAAAGGTAAAAAACACAAAGTGGTGGAGTATGGTGACAAGAAAACATGGATTTATTTTGTCTCCCAATACAATAATCAATAGATTAGACTTAAATATATATTTATAAATACATACATAAATAAATATATACATATATATATATATATATGTATGTATATCAAAAACTAAAGATCAGATGATTAATTGATTGGTCAATCAACAAAGAATCAACCACCCATTTGAACCAAATTTTATGAACCAAAAAAATTATCAATTAATCACTGAATAAAAATGGGTAATTGATAATAGTTGCGGCCCTTAAAAAAAAACACAAATATTGATGTCAGACTCTGGGTTCTTTGGTTGAGGAGTGGAGGCCTACCTGATGCTGCTGCAGTGCCAGTTCCCTGAGGAAACAGCTGGTAAAGGTTCGGATGAAATACTTAACAGACTCTTTCCCTTCGGCTTGCTTAAGGATGGACCTGTGGGACACACAAACAATTATGGCCGTACAGAAATACACAATCGCAACATGATACACCAACCAAAAACACTCTCACACAGGAGCACCACAGCAACCTAAAGTGACACTCCAGCACTCACCTGAAGATGTCGTTTACAACCAGGAATATAGAGCAGTGCTGAGCACAGGCTTTAGGCTGAAACACACAAAAACACATTTTTTAACTTTGTAAAATTGTGTGGCTTCATGGATATTAAAAGCCTACACTTACAATTCAGAAACTAAAGAGAGCACATGATGAAACCTATCCATTCCATTGTAACTAAATTCAAGAACACAAACCACCAGATATTGATCACTGGGTGTCACTGTTGCACCATCTACTACTCTTCAACGAGTCAGTTCCTCCCTCTTCTCACTGTCTCCCCACTAACCACACAGTTTACCACTCTGTCAGTTCTTCTCACACACACACACACACACACACACACACACACACACACACACACACCATGTGTTTTAGATTCAACACACTCTAAAACGCCCAAGCGTAAACATTTAACAGCTGCACTGTTCATGTCTACACGTTTATATATCTTCTTGTCCCAATTATTTTCCCTCTCACCCCCCAACACTCGTATATAGGGACACACGCTTCACTATAGGAGGAGCACAAGTACAGACTTTACAGGCTTTTAATCCTGCAGTACAATGCAGTAGAAGAGAGATTAAGCAGAGCAACAGAATCAGTTATGGGTAAACTTTCCATTTATTTGACTTCGCCACAGCCAATTAAAAACTATAGTTAATAATGTAGTAAAATGTACATTACAATGCCTTTGGTACATCAAGGCCAGAAATGTACCAACAACCTAGTTCTGTAAAGGGGTGATTAAGATCGTTTTCAATCCAGCCAAAACACACATTAAACTGCAGATGTAATTGTAAAAGTGCCAGAGTAAAAGACCAATTAGAGTCTCAGTGAGGTCAATAAGAACAAACAACCCCACCCAGTGTTTATATGGCGTCATTACAACGTCCCAACATACAAATCAAGTGCAGTCATCCTCCGTTTTGACACGTCTTGTTTCTTTTTTTGTCCTCTCGGGCCGGAAAACAGCATTAATCAATCAAAAGGTACATTTACGCGGGCATCTGCAATACGTTGGCATACGTTTAATGGGTGTCAGTGTAATTCGGCTTGCATGCCAGCGTGCATGCATGTGTGCAACTCCATGGTCCCCCCCCCCCCCCTAGTGAAAACAGATGTTATTTTTTGAGCATCCTCCTCCATACCTTACCACTAACACTTCAAGGAGGGTCAATTACAGCGCACAACAAACATCCTGTTTTTGGTAGTAAGGCCCAGGAAGTGAGTGTTTATTGTTATTGGACCTGTGTCTCTCACTGGATCACAGAGCGGTGGGGCAAGCCAAAACCAGGAATGTGAGCCTCATTTCATCTTTCACAATTTTGATGGCAGCAGTTTTAAACAAGTGAGTGAAAGGGAGGCGAGAGGAGACACAAGCCAGTCGGCTCACACGCCTCTTCTTCTTTTTTGTTGTTGTGTTGCTCTTGCACACGTGTACACCAACGGAGACTCGCATACACAGAGACACATGTGAAACGCACATCTGACTTCCAAACAACCTGAAGGCTGAGTGAAACCTAAACGTATGCCTCCCACCCTGCTAACGGCAGACACGCTATACCAGATGCAATTTCATAAACAAAGCATAAATCAAGTGCAATCAACAGGCAGACATATTGTTGTACATGCAGTGTTATACCCATGTACACCAGTGTGTTCCAATATATCTTCATTTTGAGAACAGAACTGAAAAGGTTTGCTTAAAGTCTGTTATGTACACAGCTCAAGTGGACCATCACTGTGGGAAAACACAAGTGACACAACTGACAAACTTTACTGAAGTTAACATGAGGCACACTGGCAGGTAAATCTACTGACATGTCTAGCTTCCAAAGGCAATCGGTAAACTAGGTAAATAGGATTGCATTCATGGGTATTGTATTGCATGGCACAGACGTTTGGCACAAACAATTTGTAGAAAGCACGTCTACATAGATTTATCTCCACTCTGTTCTGTGTCGTGCCTACTCGGTGAACAGGCCGAGATTCTGGACGTGTTTCATCTGAGAGTTCTTGAATCGTTTAGTTTCAGTGACACATTTAACTATTCATTATTATCCCTGCTTCTCCCAATGGCTGCACTAATATGTCCAACATGTTCTAAGTTATTGTGGGATAAAAAAAGCAACCCTTGGTGGCCAAGTGAAAAGAACACAACCCACTGCTGGTATTTTCCGATTGCATTGTAGTAATGAGGACAGTCAATAACAACCTATAAATCAAAAAGAAACCTTCTGATTTTTAAACACGGCATGATCCGAGTTAAAAGTTATATGAAGTGGGGAGTGGCCAAGGACTCAAGTGACAGAGTTCAGTACATACTCAGCACAGTAAATGCTGTGTAGCACAAGCCAAATGATGTGAGACTCAGTTTGGAGCTAGCCAAATGATGTGGGATGCATGCAGAGCAAAGCCAAGTGGTGCGAGTTAGCCCGGCAAGAACAGTCAATAAAGATCAACCAAAAACGCAAAGGAACGCTTCCAAGTACTATGCATACAAAAACATTACAACTGCTATACCTCATAACAAATGAGTAGGCCTTATACTCAAACTGTTTGGTTTCACAGTTTACAAATCAGTTCAAATGGGATCCAAAAACATACGGAGCGTGCAATGATTTCTGATGTGAGACTCTATAGCCTAATGCAGGGCAGATGAGTCACACTATGTACAGAACAAAACCGTTTAACAACAGCAATGTGTCACCAATTCATCAAAATGCCATAGAAGTCCATGCTTGGCTGTCATAGACTTCTTGCAATGATGTTTTCAAAGTAGCTGTGCATGGAGGTATATTAGGTCAAATATATGAGACTTATATCAAGGGTTCCACGGGAACAGAACACATGTGGACAGAACACATGTTTTTAGCAAATCTGGACATATCTATCACAGAAGTATGTGACTTCATCCTTTTTGAGTCCTCATTTCAGAAGATTACCCACCAGCAATGACTGTTCCAGTTGCTTCTGTGGAATTGACCTCGAGTTGGTGAGAGCACACTCCAGCAGGCGGAGCACTGCTTCCTCCAGGCTGGGCAGGTTGTGATACCACAGAGAAACTACAGCCTGCTCCTCCAATGACAAGCATTGGCTAGAAAAAACAACAAAGAAAACAGCACTGACATTATCATCGCAGCTACAAACATGACATCTAAAATATAAGCAAGTATTGATACAACTTAACAGAAAAACTTCCTGGAAACATATTTTACCGCCCAACAAGAACTCAGTGTGCCTACCTGGCATGGGCGGAGCTCAGAGCATCCAGGAAGTCTTCACTAAGTGCTGCCCTGACACAAGTCACTGGCTGCTGCAGAAGTGCACCAATGAGAGGAGCCGCCTCAGGACATGTGACCAGGGGGACGCAAGCCTCTGATGTGGCCAGAATGTTGTCACATGAACACCTGCACAGAGTAATATAGACAGAATCTGTATTATCTGGAACTTATTATCAATGACCTACTTTATAAAAACAGAAAAGGCAAAATAATATCCGTTTCCAGCTTTTTAAACATGAGGATTTGCTTTTTTCCTCTGTTGAATGCCACTGTAAGTGGAATAACTTTGGGTCTGTAGGTCTGCCAAATAAGACATATGGTGACATCACCGTGGGATCTGGGAAACTGTGATGATCAATATTTCCCCACTATTTCATAGGACCAAAAAATATTGGGGAAAATAATCAGCAGGTGATTAATTATGAATATAACTGTAAGTGGCGGGCCTTGTTTCCTCTGTGCTGTACCTCTGATTGATGTTGCCCAAAGAGCTGCAGCTCTTCCCAATGTTCTCCTGCAGCAGTGCCACCGTCTGAAGAGCAGGAAAGAGCACAACTTGCATGTAATGTTGACATAATTACCGTATCTATCAATGCAGGCAAGAATAAAACAGAAAGGAAAGGCCGATACCTTTCTCAGAACTTTGAGATGGTACTCTTTAGGCGGGACACCCATTTGCTTCATCAATGCCTGCGTTGGATCATCGTCTTCCTCTGTAGCAAGCTGACAGAGAACCTTCTGTGGGAGGCCAGGCAACATAATGTGCAGCTGATTATTGGCACTTTATGTGTACATCTATAACAGACTTTAATGAAATCTGCCCGAACCCCGAGATCCACAACATCAAAGCTAATGAGTTACTGGAATATAGGATGACTCTGTTGGCGTCACATCATTTGAACCACATGAGTGGAGAAAAAGGCATTTCAGCGAGAATGTATGGACGGCATATGAGCAACTTCAGAAATGAACACTTACAGAGGGCCTTGGTGTTTTACAAGCATTTTTCAGAAGGGGCCTCATCATACACTGATAAAACTAGACTCATAAACTCCGCTGATCTCGTCTGAGAAAAAGCGAGTCATAATTTGGGAACAAAAGAGGGAACACTAGACTCGTACTGTAAGTCATGATCTTACAAGAGTGGCTCTCAAACTTGAGGGATGCTTCTTCTCAAGGAATACATTGCGAGGCAGACATTCTTAGAAATAGCAACAAAGATGCCACACAGTGTTTAGTTATCTTATGATTAATAAACTGTATGTTTGCTTTCATAGATATTCACTCAGAAGTGTTGCTTTGAATCATGGATTGATTTAGACTTTAGAAACAGCCCTCTCTATTTGATCACAATAAGCTGATTCACTGGTACAAGTTGGAAAGTGCGATCCAACAGAAACAGCCAAGGCCTCACATCTTCAGCACGCATCTGTTTTTACAACTCCAATGAACCGAAAACAGAAAAAAAAACCACACCACTAAGAGCAGACTAAAGAAGTACAAATCCCTTTCAAACTGCAGATCAAAGGACGTCAACACGAGATGAGGAGAGGAAGAGAATGAGAGTGGCACAATATGTATTAAAAAAAGAAAAAGTGAAGGGGTAAAAAAACATAATCCCAGCGAGAGGAGCACTGCAGCGCTGTTGGTGGAGCTCTGTGGTTTCTTTGGCCGGGCTCTACAGCACGCTAAGATGCTTACCCTCCACAGAGTCTGACAAAATAACCCCAATCACTTCCATCTGAGCACCCTCAAACTCTGCACATTGAGTACATACAAAACCAATCACACTTATTCCACCCGTGGTAAGGAGGCACAGTGGAGCCGGGGGAAATGAGAGGGAAGGAGGACTGGTTAGAAGGAATGGCAGAGAGAGAGACTGGAACGCAGTGCGATGGCTGCATTTAGAGCGGGGGGAAAAGGGCGTGGTCACCAGAAGAATGCGATGAAGGGCAAATGGGTAGATGGATGGCAAATACTTTAGGTCAAAAGTCATTTTTTCTTTCACAGAAAAGACAGCAAACCGAGCTGGTTTTGGGGTCTTGGAAGTGCTGCTGCCAAAGAAATGATCCCTCTATAAATCTAAAATTAAAACAGAGGATGGAGAAAAATGCACAAAGCATAGACTTGAGTTGGTTTTGATGAGTGCCTGTTAACAATTACTGAGCCATGATTGAATTCTCTCAAAACCAATGAAAGTCTCCAGTATAGCCTCAGATGGTCAAAACAACAGAGACAAATAGAGAAGCGATGAAATGAGGGAAAAGGAGAACAGAAAAGTCAGGGTGAGCGTGCAAAATAATGAAGTTATAAGCACTTGTGCTCAAACTCAGTGCACTGACATTGTGTGCATTAAAGAACAGAGTCATTTCAAACAGTGTGTTTTCCTCCTAAATCAAATGTCCAATCTATACTCTTTTGACCTCAGGAATTTGAGGTATTTCAAAATACATAAAGAGGTTTATGTAATGCAAAAGGGAAAATTGTCATTTTTATTTGATGAGAAATAACATTCTGAAAACATTGAACCTTTGAGTTAACGGAAAAAACGTTAAGGAAGAACCATAAATAATACTTTCAGTAAGTCAGATTTACTGAAAGAGGGATGCCACCCAACAGGATACCAAAGGATGAAGGGGAAACATTATTGTCACGAAGAGACTTTCATCTCCAAATTAAACAGAGAGTGAAGCAGCCGATGTGAGCCGTCGAAAATATGTTTTTAAACACTAAAGCAGCCACAGCAGCTCCGGGGCCTACCTTTGGTTCACCCCGTTTGAGTCAGTTAAAGATACACGTCAAAGGATAAGATATCAAACCAGCCATCCTCCGGCCCTCTAATATTACACTCTCATGCTTTACTTATCTGTCATCTCTTCAAACATCGTGCCATTTTGCTGCAGCACTGTGTGGTCCCCCTGCTAGTACAGGATGTAGAGAAACAGACCGATTGAGCTAATGACTATCTGACATAGCCTGCAGCTATGTGGCTGTACCCAGCATTCATCCAAACCCAGTGAGAACACTCAGATGTGGAGAGGAGAGGCAGACAGGGAGGGCCAAAAGCTCTGCACATTATTATAATTTAAGGAGAACAGTATATACAGTAGCAGTACAACACATGTTTTTGCACAAATACTCACATACATATGCGAGCACAAGCACAAAATTACAGTATTTAGGTGCCACTTAGCAAAAGACCCTCAGTCTATTAAGAAGGCAGCAGGAAAACAATGTTGGGGAGCAAGATCAGACAGGGCTAACAGAAAACAGGCTGCATTCTGCATTCCAGGACCGGCAGTCCAACACAACGCAGACACAGGGAGAGACACAGAGACACACCATCTCTGGCCTAAAACCATACATCTGCACTGCTCCCCCAGACGTGATGAGCTGCGGTGGTGAAAAGGTTTTTTTTTTTTTTTGTGCTTCCCGCCATTCCTGTCATTTGTGGGGAGAGGAAGCTTCTTTGGAGAAGATGAGACAGAGGAGGAGGAGGTGCAGAGTTTGTTATGAGCTTATTGTACTTGTGGACACTTTCATCCTGTCCTGCGTGCCACTTTAGTGAACCCTTTGACTCTGTCTATCCGGGCTTTATCACAAGCATTCAGCCACAACTAATTGTTGAAAATATAGTTTGAACCTGAACCTTTTTAAATGCTCATCAAGGAAGAATGCCATCATTGTTTGAATAAGGGTGAGCAGAAAAGAAGAGTTATTTGGTCATGGTCTGTTCATAATCATAGCAAAGTTTGCACTCTCACTAAACCTTAAGTGTTGCTGCCTATTCTAAGAAAATCTTCCCTTGATCCATGAACCATGATCGCCTCCTTCCAGCAGAGATGAGTGAGGTAAAAGTGGCTTCATGAGCAGTGTTGAAGGAGCACAAACATAATATCATCTCCCTTTACTTTGATTAAAAAATATATATTAACGTAAATGTAATTTAAATTGTAAGTCTGTACACCATCCCCACTTGCACATTGACCTGCATATATACAGACATATGCCCACACAAACACTCGGACGTACTGTAGACATAAACACAACCATACACACGTGCACTTTGCTTCCCCTCTTATGGCTCAAAGACCATCTGGCAATTTCAAGGTTTACTTTCAAGGCACCGTTTTAATTAGCAAGATGTTTTATTAGATGAGAAATTAATCAAAAGAATACAAACACAGTTAATCTGGCAAAAAATGTGAAAGTTCCACATTGTTTATCATAAGCCATCTGCGTGAACCCTCTCAAAGTTGTCTTCCCTCTGTTCTCCTTCCCTCCTTTGTGTGTGTGAGTGTGTGCGCGCCGTGAACACACGGTGAGCGAGATCAACTAACCAGAATACGAAGGCTGATGCTTCTCTGGTGACGAGGGGCAGTGAACAGTCAATTCTAATTTGCTTTCAAAATATGTTTTACAGTTTTGGGCACAAAGGGCTTAGACTAACAGAGACCCAATCTACCTCATTCATCATCCATGTCCCATTGGAGAGGAGAAGCAGAGGGCTGGCGAGAAAACCCCTATTAAAATTAAATCAGACAGAAAATCTCTTCAGCGGCCCAAAGGCAATCGAAGACAGATTCTTTTTAGTTTGTTGGGGTATTTAAGAGATGATAATCAGTCTGGATGTCCAGTCTTTCCGGATCTAATTAGGACATAAACAGCAAACAGACCAGGCCTGACAATTGGAGTTTTTGTCTCCACCTATTCCAGCTTCCCTCAGTCATGATTATGTGTTTAATCTCTGTCTAACCCCACTAGGTGGGTCCATTTGACCAATGAAACTGCAGCAAAGATGGATGACTTCATGTGGCATCTTAATTGACAATGTTTCTTTACTCCATCCTTCCATCCAGTATCTTCCACTGAACCGGGCCAGGTTGCAGGGACAGCAGGCTTAACAGAGACGTCTGGAATACCTCCAGACGTCACTCTCTCCCCATCAACTTTTTCCAGCTCTTTCTTTTCCAGCTCCGAGGCGTTCCCACCCCAGAGGAGGTATACAAGCTCTCAAACATGTTCTGGTTCCACCCCTGGGCCTCTTACCAGTTGGACGTAACGGGAAACCCTCTAAAGAGAGGAGTCCAGGAGGCATCCTGATCATCAGATGCCCGAACCACCTCACCTGGCCCCTTTCGATGCGAAGGAGCAGCGGTTCTACTATGAGCTCCCTCCAGATGTCTGAGCTTCTCACACTATTTCAGCACAAAGGAAGCTCATTTTGGCCGCTTGTATCCATGATCTCATTATGTCGGTCACTACCCAAAGCTCATGATCACAGGTGAGGGTCGGAACGTAGATGGACTGGTAAATCGAGAGCTTTGCCTTCCAGCTCTGTTGCCGCTTCAGCACAGCGGTCCGGTGCAACGCCCGCATCACTGCTGACGTCGCACCAAACTGCCTGTACATCTACCGCTCCATTTTCCCCTCACTTGTGAGCAAGACCCCGAGGCTTGATTTACTATAAAACATTTTATTTAGTGTCAGGATAGAAATAATTGATCATGTACCAAAACGGAGGTGTTCTATCGGCACTGGTATCAAAATATTTCTAATGATGTCTAGCCCTATTCTTTCTGTTTGTAGTGTTGTTTAGGAATCTTATACAAGTATTAGATAGATTAAAGAGATGACATAAAATCAGGGATACAGTTGAGGTCCAACCACAAACAGCAGGGATGCTTCGGTTTCTGTTTGACGCATCAACCTCAAGGGAAATCTGGGTGCTAAAGAGCTCTTTCTACTTGATCCGGAATTTAACAAAAAGTTCAGGAAATGTCCAGTTACTGCACATGCAGAGATGAAGTGAATCTCAGAGGTAGAAAGTGGCATGTAAAAGCAATCACGGATCACTTTTGTTAAACCATTATTTATATATTTAAAAAAGAATCAATATTCTAAGTCTACCTAATTCACTTCCATCTAAGTTCTCTATTAACAGAGGTAGAGAGAGTCCAGTCCATACCCGTATCCACTGGTTGGCTTTCCTTTCCACAGCATTGCCCGGATGCTCCGAGTACAGTCCCCACAAACACTGGAACAGCAGCCGTCTGCCTGTAGCTGCAGACAGCGAGACACAATGGATGGTCGAGTTCTGGTTTAATATAACACCTCTTTTACATACATAAGCATCAAAATGACTCATGCTTGTAAAGAGACGATCATTAGTCTGGACCCGATCCAGCCACTATTCCCCAATACAGAGTTAAAGTTGTTCCCACGGTGCACTCACCATCAGCAGTGACATAAGGGTTCCAGCAGAGTCGGCCAAGAAACTGTCCGAGGAGGGGCAGCATCTTCATGGTCTCTGCTGTGGAGCTCTTGGGGACATTACAGAGACAGCCACAGGCAGGAGAAAATGGATTTAATAGTAGACATGTTTTGTACTCTCACACCTTTGAGCTGCATAGCTCGGACTAATAACTTAAGTGGGTTGGTTCTCTGAGATGAAGGCACATACACAGTAATTTCTTTTTTCCCCATCTGGCATATAATCAGACATTACACAAGTGGAACCAATCCCCGAAATAAAATCTCCTTCCTTCAACGCCTCACCATGTTATAGATATTTGCACCTCCTCCTCTGTTTCATCCTCCTTTGTTTAATCCTTTTAACCTAGCAACCCTGTGTGCCACAACACCACCAAACATTAGAAGATCACAAGTCTACTTAATGGCTCAGGATATTAAGTTGAATAGCAGGCACATCCACAGGTGCACAGTAGTCATGCATTACTCATGCGTCACCTTTGTTTCCCCCTATTTTGGTCGTGTCACAATTACAACCACAGTTTCAATAGTGAGAGATACACAGCGCAGAACAGGGGCTCTGGTCGAGAGCGCTATACCTGTGACAGTTTAAGTACGTGTGTGTCTGTGCTTCTTTATCCAGCTCAGACAACAGACCATGTGATTTGTTTCACTTCACAGCCAATTAAAAGATCCAGAAGGTTTCAAGTCAGGGTAAACACTGTATTAAGGAACTTGAAAAGCCTTTAATCCTGACTGACTATTCATTTCAGCTTTGAGAATATTACATTTTCCCAGATGATCGTCACACGGTCTGGAAAGATTCCAATAATATGTCAGGGCAGCTCGCTGAAACCATTGGGAAACCAGATTTGGTGTACGGTAATTTGAGTGTGATTGAATACCAAAAACAGCCCAATGGAGGACCTAGTCCATGTGAAGAACAAGACCGGAGCTTTGTTACACGCACTATTATATTAAACCAGAGCCAAACAGAAGGTGATCATTAAAACTTGTTTGGCTGTTCAATAGAATGAAAACCAACTCATTTGTTGTTTCTAGTTTAATATGAATATGATATCAGACTCAGTTTCAATCTTCGGTCTGACTTTCCTCCACTCTAACCGATTTCCGTTGGGGGGGGAAGGATTTTTGTCACCAATCCCTAGAGACCAACGTATCCGCCCGAATTTAACGGCATTTAAAGTCGACGCTGATGTGGAGCCACTGGTTGTGCAGGGGTTTTAAGAATGAAGCAAAGTAAAAAACAAACTACGATGTCGGGCTGTATTGTGAAAACATACCGTCTACAGTGCACAGCTTGACAACACTTCATAACAGTTTGACATGGGTGTTAGTCCCGCCCCTGGCGCTGGTTAGCTAGGTTATGAATCCCCCCCCCCCGCGGCAGACACTGGCTCAATTGCATTTTAACCAAGAAACCCATGTTTTATGTCAACCTGCCAGACGAATCAGTCAACCCCAACTCGGTGTAGTACGCAAACTTAAAGGTTTGTCAGAAAAGTACTCTACATTGTTTGCGCTTCCTCAGGGCTGACAACATTTCAAGTCAAGCTGGAGACTGAGACAAATGCCTTCAGTCTAGATGAAGACTTTTAAACTCATTTTTGTGTACAAATTTGTTTTAGTTTCATCCAATTACCTTTCTGGGTTTAATACAGTGGGGGTTTTCTGCATTAGACATTATTTTTACAATAAGATGACTGCAGTGGGACATACAGCACAGAAAGCAGATCAAAGAGGTGACGTACTACTTAAATTTACAAGCAAGTCTGCACACATGTGCATGAATCATGCATTTACAATATTAGTCAGTATTCATTGCATATTTTAAGATTATATCATGAATTTCACCTGTGAGCTAATTGAACTGTAGAGAACAGCTTCGATGCAGGAGAGACCCACAAAAAGAGATCTCACTGTGGCTCAACCAAAGATGATTGTTTGGTGATCAGTATCTCATGTGATCTTAGAATGTGGAAAAGCATGGACGCCAATCTGAAATACCACCCATTGGTTTTCTGATGGGCTTCAAAATATATCCCTCTTCTTGTCCCATGGCTTCCCTTTGGGCTCATCCTGCCATCAGCCTCACTCACACTCCATCGTGCATCATGTTTAGATTTCTGTGTCAGGTTTTTTTGGAGTCAGAATTGAACAGCAATAAGCAATACCGCATAGAGTAATTATGAGTTAGGAAGAAAGAGGACAGCGAAAAGGGAAGAAGGAACAGGAAAGAAAGTTTTAAGAATTGCAGAGAAGAAATAAAGACATGACAAAAGTTGTTGCGTTGCCAGTATGCATTATTCTTGCTTCATGCACTTTTCATCAGAAATAATCAGAGAGCACTGAGCAGACATGGAGACGCCTTAATGTAGCATTGGATAAAAGGAAAGACGTTAAATTAACTTTTGGCCTATATGTTCAAAACCAGCACCAGACAGACAAGGAGATTAACTTGACTCACTCAAGTGGATGAGATCACCATTAATGGGAAGCAGAGTGGTAATAGGCCATGTAGGGCTTCTCTAAGTGCCCCCAAAACACCACCAACGCTGTCTGGAAAACAGCCCTCACACTCTGCCTTCCTATCAATCCAACAACACATGGTCAACGTTGTGTGCGTGTATACATGTTCATTTGTTTGTTGGTGATGCAACTAAAAAAAGGTTGCTTATTTACATTAAGAACTTTACTAAAGCTTTGTGACATCAGGAATGCCCGTAAGAATCAGCAATCTCAACAGAAAGTCATCATCACTGACTATCAGGGCCAACGCGCCGTCAAAGCCTTGCAACATCCTCCTTGATTATAAACGGGCTTTGAGACAAGACAATGTATCTTAGAGAGGAAACTCTTCTGTTGCTGACTAGAAAAATCGGATTAGGACTCGGCATCGGCACAGTGACTTTCTAAAACTTCCATTGTTTGCATGACAACCTCATGGTGATCACCAGACTGGAGGAAGTTACTGCGTCCGTCCAAGAAATAGGCTGGCACATAACATAACCCCACCTAAAATAACGAATAGCCATTTTACACATTTCTGTTCAGACTACCCGGGCTGGATCCAACATGTTAGTTAGTGATCTGTAGATGTGCTGCAAGGTGGATTTGGTTTGGACAGAGCCAGCCTAGTTGTTTCCCTCCGTTTCAAACCGTTATGCTATTCTAAGCTAAGCTAGGCGGCTGCTTGGCTCCTGCCTCATATTAAACGGACAGATATGAGAGTGGTATCGATCAAACTCTCAGCGAGAGAGCAAATAAGCAACTTTCCAAAACATATCAAAATATTTTCAAGATACTTCCTCCACTTTTCTAACCAAGTGTAAACCTGGAAATGAATCATAAATCGGAGTATTTCTCATCTCAGGCCATAAGCCACAGGAAAGTTGTTAAGTTATCAAAGGATGCAAAATGGTGCCAAGAGGCAGGCTATCTTCAGCTGGACTTTTATGAGCCCACTGCCAGTAAAAATGATTTCGACCCAATTAAGCTATACCATTCTTTCTTTCTGTCTTCGTATCCGCTCCCCTATCCTACACATGCTGACACCTCTGCATGACATACACCCGAAATAATGCTAGCAGAGAAGGAAAGGAGACAGACAGATAAAAAGAACAGCCATTGATCTATAAAGAATATATGGCAAGTGGTACGAGTACAAAGAAAGACAGATAGAGACACTGAGACTGATTCTAAACTATCACCAGAGTGTTACATTAAAACATATGGGTTTGTAGAGAATCACAAATGAAAACCTGCAAGAGCACCGTGACAAGAAAAAGACTTTTCTGTGAGAAAAAGGGGAGCGTATATTATGTGAGAGAGATATGTGAGGGAGTTTTGGTTATAAAAAGCAGAACGTGCTCAGGGAAAAGTGCTGGAAGGAGGAGGCAAGGACGCGGTAACACTGAAATCTCACAGTCCTGCACCCCTCCGGTCCTCTATCCAATTCCCAAATTTGCTGGACCTGATATGGGGATACATTAGGTTAGCGCTGGAGGTCCCAATGCGACTATTACCTGACTAACTCAACACTGTAGCACTGCCAGGCAGACATACACTCTGCACAGAGCAGCCTCTGTTAACAGGACTCTACCAACGCTGGACTTACTGTTCATGCCCTGGCTTGGAGCGTGTGCGTTTTTCATGTTTGTGTTTCTGTGTGTGTGTGTGTGTGTGAGGACTAGACGTGCTGGTGTTTAAATTAACTTCGGGTGGCTGTTTGGCGTAACTAGATCTAATTTATTTATTTTGGTACAGTGTCAAGACTGTAAAACAGGCCTCTTAGTGGATACGGACCATTTTATTAGACTTAGCGGGCGTCTGGTAAATAAAGTGTATATATATATATATATCTGTCAAGAATATGAATCTCAAAGCATCCCTTCCATTCTGATAAAGTTAATAAAAAAAAAAAATATGTGAAGCCACGACATCAAATTTTTTTATACTACATCTGCTCACCATGTTGTTGATGTGTGTGAGGAGTTGCTGGAGGAAATCCCTCAGTCTGCTCAAATGCAGGGAGGTGTCTTTCTGAGTGTCAGCCTGGCCCCACGCCACTGCTTTGTCCAGCCAGAAGCGCATCTCCTGGACGTTCAGCGGGGGCTCTGCCGTTTGTTGGAGCTGGATCAGTGGCTGCAGCTGAGACATTGTCCTACTTGTCCCGGTGAAGGTACTTTGGACCGAAGCAAGAGCCTAAGTGAGACAAAAATCAGGTCCGTCATCAAGGGTAACACAGAAAACACAAATATCTTATCATCTGTCCTTAATCATCTTTACTTTTTGGCTTCGCAATGTCAACACTTTTACATTGTGATCTTGACTACACATCGACTTCCAATGTATAATAGCAGCATCTCCAGATGTTTTAAAGAAACGCTGAGTACTTTTAGCCAACTCACTTTAAACAAAGACAAACTCCGCTAAAGGTGCCTTGTGCAATTCTTCCACTAGAAGACTGCAAGCTCAATGATGGATGTAAACAATGCAGGATCTAAAATAAAATAAAGAAATTCAGTTTAACAAATATTTTATAAGGAAATACCGATATTTGTTAGATCTCAGTGTAATTTGGTGATAAAGCTTTAAACACAAACTCTGTACCTTGTACTAAAGAACTCAGTGAGTGTCACAATTGTCAAGGTCATCATCTACTAACTAAATTAAATGTATACTAATAATATGCTTGTGTGGCCGACATCATCCCCCATTTCTGTGAGAGCAGAAGTGGATAATACAATGGAAGTAATAATAAGTGGGAAATAAATTGAAGCATATTGTGGTAATCTTGTGTAAAACTCTTATTACCACAATCTAACAATCAAACTTTTAAGCTCCAGGCAATCACACACACACACACACACACACACACACACACACACACACACACACACACACACACACGGGCCTACTGAGAAATAAACAGCACATTCTTCACCTTTTATGATGAGGAGGAGAAAAACATGTGGGGGGCAGACCACAAGGGTGTGGGTGAGGATGTGCTTTGTGTCTGTATGTAGCCTAGGAATAGTGTGTGTGTGTGTGTATGTGTTTTTTTTGCCATAATGACATGTCTGTGTGAGACAACACCACAGGGTTGTGTTTTATGATCACCTCGTTATACATGATTTGTTTAATGTCTTGCCATCATCTCTGCTGGAAAGCCCCTATGGCTGGCTGATGTGAATATATAAATACTCATTTTCAGAGAGAGAAAAAAAAAAAGCCTCAACCAAATTAGGAACAAACGCCTCTTGTTGACTTGTGCTGGGGGCTCACGTTTTTAACAAAGCAGAGGTGGAATAGAATTGCATTGAATTGAATACCTAGTATCAGAGTATCAGTCACCCACAACCTCTATCGTGTACAGACAGTTACATGAATGCACAGGCATGTGTACTGACCTTACACAACTTTGTTGGTATAATGCATGTCACTCAGGCAAAAAAAAAAAAAAGATATGTAAATGCACATAAACATACTCTACAGCCGGTGTTGGCTGAACACATTCTGGAGCAGGAACGAGATGTGACTGGTCAAATATTATCTTTGAAGATTTGTTAAACTAAGCTTGTGGACTTTGGGTAAGCGCGAGTTTGCTGTTCCAATTAAGAGATTGTTGACATTATTTCAGTATAATCAAATCAGTTTAACATCACTTTCTACAAATGTATTTCAGTGTGTTATTGAAGAAGTCAGGGATTAAATGAGAGAAAGGGTTGTCTCAATAGAAGCCATAAAAGGAACAGTTTTGTTCAACTAATTTGGGCTGACGTAATTATAAACTATTTTTATTCATCATATTGCTCCTACAAGGCAACATTTATCACACGCCTATGCGACCACACATCAACACACACACCTGAATAAATGAGGGGAGAAACATAAACAGTGCAAGTGTATCAATACAGGGCATGAAGGCTCATTGAATGGTTTCATGGATCAAATGTGAGTCACACATCTGAGATGCTTGAACTTCATAGTGTTTGACATTTTTGCTTGATAGATTACTTTTTTAAACAGCTAATTGACAATCTAAATCTTTGTTGATTAAATTTCTATCAATTGATTAATCAGTTAATCACCGAACTGTTTCAGCCCCGAACTTTACCTTTGAAGAAATGCTTTCATTTAAAAGGAACAATATACAGTGTTGAGGTACAAATAGTAGATCTAACTTAGATCATCTGAAGCAATGGACACACTCACAAACACACGCGCGCGCGCCAATTTACCTAGAAAAAACGTTTCGAGTGCAATAACTACACCACACCACAGGATGCCAGTATTTCTTCCACTCTCCTGCAACTACAATGAATGTTGCTGAAACAATGAATCAGTTCAATTTCAAGATACCAAAGAACTTCAACATACAACTGCTGTACGTCAGACGGTGTCGAGTTACGTTACGACTCCACGAATACACCACATGTGTTCACAACCGTTACTTCAGGTGTTAGCAAGTTACCGTTAATCACTATACTACAGTACACACGTGTTAACTACTGTAGCTTCTAATGTGGACTTACATGTAAACAAGACGTGCAACCATCAAACTGAAATCTTCACGGAGCAGAAGTCAGCTGTGTCCATTCATTATATAACGTTTTGTCTTCAGACAAGAAGCCAAGCTTTCGTCCTGCGATGTAAACAAACTGAACTTCCCTCTTCTCTCGGAGTTCCGTGTATGGAGGAAGACTATTGGCTGAGTGGCGTCCCCTCCAACTCGTCATCCTGGCAGTGCCTGCTGGGAAATTGAGTCAGATGGCTCTCCGGCTCTCATAGCTAACACACACACACACACACACACACACACACACACACACACACGCGCACACACACACACACACACACACACACACACACACACAGGGAATTTATACTATATATATGTGAATTCCCTTGCTTACATTTAATATATTTGAAATTGGAATTTATAGTGCTTCAAATTGTCCTACCCTCTAGCTCCAAGGTGACAATGTATTTACAAAGAATCAGGAACTCAGAACTCCTTACAGTACAACAGCACTACAAACAATTACCTAAAAGATGACTGTAAAGTTGAATCAGTGTAAGATATGTACTGATAAGGGATGTACACACCTTAAGTAAGTAGTTCTTATTCAGATAACTGGAAGAATTCATTTTTTTTGTGTGCATTAATGCATCAAAATGGAACCATACAAATCTTTTTTGAAGCACAGCTCAAACTGACACAGATCACCCAGAGGCTCCAACCCAGTGCACTGGTGTTAACTACTTGTGCGTGTGACTGTGATTGTGTCCAAGCCTGGTTTGGAAAAAACAAGCAAACAAGTTTTTTTAAGCACAGCTTTGAATAAGGAAAACCCACCATGCACCTCAAATCCTATCTCTTTTATATTGTTTCCATATTTTCCTACTTCCCCCTAATCACACACCCTCCCCTCACACACAAGCACACACAATTCATAGCACCTCTAGCTACACCTTCCAATTTGACAGGTGACCTCTGACCTTTGGTTACTATTCAAACCTGTTACAGGAGTGAATAGATGGAAATGTGCGTGTGTGTGTGTGTGTTGTTTTATATGAGACCATATAAACCATATAAAGGTCACTATAAAGCAAGGAATTTCTGTCTGCATGTAAATGTGTTCTTCACATAACTTGAGAGCACACATTTCTTTTCCTATTATTGATCAATACGATTATTCAATACAGTTTCGCCAAAGCTGGCCCAAAAAACGCTTTGTGCTATTGCACCACAGTTGTTGGATATGATGTGTGAGTGACCATGACAAATTTGATGCCTTTATGCCAAAGAATGGCAGCAGCGGCATCGTCTCACTATAAAGCAAGGAACTGTTCATCCGATCTACTTCAATAACAAGGCACTTTAGTTTAGGTAATATCAACAATTGATATTTATTTACAATATAAGACAATGTATTATACAATAATATGATAGGATATATAATACAATGAAATATAGTATAATATACCATAATGTATAATATCATACAAAATTATATAATAACAATACAACAGAATACATCAAAAAACAGTGAAGAGGGAAGTGCCCAGCGCCGAATCCCCGTCCGCAGGAAATGTGGCGTATGGAAGACCGCTTGCCGTGGACGGTGTGATGCCGGTAACGGCCCCCGTCGCGCCGGGGTCCGGTCTTCTCGGAGTCGGGTTGTTAGATAATGCAGCCCAAAGTAGGTGGTACACTCCATCTAAGGCTAAATACCGGCACGAGACCAATAGTCAACAAGTACCTTAAGGGAAAGTTGAAAAGAACTTTGAAGAGAGAGTTCAAGAGGGCGTGAAACCGTTGAGAGGTAAACAGGGACCTCTCTCCGGCGCTGGCTGTCCCTCGCCGGGCGCATATCCTCAGTGGCAGTGCGCCGCGACCGGCTCTAGGTCGGCTTGGAAAGGCTCGGGGCGAAGGTGCTTTTCAGCGCTCACCCCCAGGACCTCGCCGCCTCTAGGGACCGTGGACTAAGTGCTCGCTGTGCCCTCTCTCACTGCGGGGAGGGACGGGGCCCCCTGCGACTGGGGCAGACTGTCCTCAGTGCGTCCCAACCGCATCGCCCGGGCGGGGATAGGCTCAAGTAAAAGGCGTCAGGGGTCTGTGGCGATGTCGGCAACCCACCCGACCCGTCTTGAAACACGGACCAAGGAGTCTAACGCATGCGCGAGTCAGAGGGTGAAGCAAACCCTGTGGCGGCCAGCGTGCCGGGTGAGGTGGGATTCCGGCCCTGCGGCGTTGGGCACACCACCGGCCCGTCTCGCCCGCACCGTCGGAGAGGTGGAGCGTGAGATTGTGCGATAGGACACGAAAGAAAGTGAACTATGCCTGGACAGGGCGAAGCCAGAGGAAGGTCTGGTGGAAGCTCACACCGTGATCTAGATTCACTTGTGTCCTCTTTTTGTCAGGGCTTTGCAAAAGGCTGTCCAGCCATTTGCACAACACAAAAAGTTGTTTGAATCTCCATTGGTGTAGGTGGAGCATTTTTCTTGACTTGGGCTCCTCTTCGGGGTAGCCATCTTGTTTTGGGCCTCAGGTGGAATCATCATTGGCTGTTGGATGGATCCACTTACACTAAGTCTGGACATGGCCTCTGTGATTTCCATCATCAGATGATCCCCATCACCAATATGAGTCTGAAAGAATGCATTTTTGGATACATGTTTAGACCATGTATTATTAAACCTTAAACAACTGCCAAACACAAGACATACAGCCAAATAACACCAAAATGAAATGTGTTTAGTTTAATCAAAGAATATTCAAATCAATGTGTAGAATGAATAAACTTAGTTCAATCATTTGTAGACATGTTACTGCCGCTGATTTCAAATGAAATAGCATCTTCCTTAATTTAGTTAAATACCTGATCACATTTCTGCCATTGTACATTATATTTTTTTCAGCAGACTGTGAATAGCTACATAGATACCTTTTACAGTCATGTAGAAGCTGAGAAAAAGGGGCGAGAGATGGAAGACAACTATATCGATATAAGTATCGACTTACTTGTGTTTGTTTATCTGTTTTCCTTCGTAGACTAAAAGGTCAGTGGGTTCTACATTAGATGTGATATTGACTTCAGTAAACATTAAAATAGTTTTTATTTACATTGTTAGCAGCAGTTTATAATTAATGTTAACTCTGTTAAAAGACTTCAATCAGTTTTGTGCTAGATAACAAAGAAACCAACACATTAATCAACTTACCACACTGTGATCCACCTCCTTGTAAGGATCTGGCTGTCCTTCAGCCACTACGACTGTGGTCCTCCTGAGTCTTGCGTCTTCCATAAGAGTCCGCTTGACTCTGGTTGAGTCTCCAAGAACATGGAACCTTCGGAACAACCTGCTGACATCAGCTGTGTGGCTCTTAATATATAAGTTGTACAACTTTGCAAACTTATCTCATTCAGGTGGAACAAAACCACTAAAAACAAACTAAAAAATCCACATACAACCTTCAAAGACACAAATTATTGTCTTTATTGAACACACCTGAACATGATTGTACTAAATATCAAAGAAATACTTGTTAATTAAAGTGTTTCAACTAGATGTCCCCCTTGTAAATGACTCTTAAGAGGTTCTGTTCATAAGGTGAATATTTCCTACAAACCTTTATTTGTTAGTTACCTAAGATTAATCACTTCCTGCCAGCTTTAATTTTGAAAGTGCCTTTTTACGTTTCGGTTCCGTTATTTTGAAATCCTTCTGGCGTAACCGGAAGCAGATACAAATCTCTTCGGAGAGTAGTAACTTGACTTTGCATAAAAAAGTTAGATAATTGACGGTGTGTACGAAAGGAAAGAGTCTTGTGTGTTTATTGTGTTTTATGACCATGTTTAGTGACATTTTATCTTAATTAACCTGAAAAAGGGCTTTAATGTTTCAACTAGATGCTAATGTTAGCTTAATAGATATGGCTAAATTACTATGCTGTAATTTTAAGCTATTGCTAGATTTCAGTCTTTACATGTGCGTTTGAGAAGAATATATGTGAGAAAACGTTTGGTTAATGCCCACATGTATAGTTTGATGTAATGTAATGAATGTTTATACTCGTAAGAGCTCATTTATGTTGTATCTGTTTCGTAGCTCTTCCGGTGTTTTCTGGAGATTGGTTGCGAAGGAGTAAATTTGTGTTTATCAAAATAAGGATGACAGTTGAGCATAAATAAAGGCCTCTGGAAACATCAGTACGCTTCACCATTGTCCGGCTGGGGTCCGCTACACCCCTTCAGAAATGTCTAGTCACACCAAAATGGGCTTTTCTCCAAAATAGGGTTGATTATTTATCACTGTGACATCTCTTTATATTGTTCTATATGCTGAGGACCCATAATTGCACCTCCCAGTCAGGCTGAGAGAATAAAATAAATCGGCCTCTGAGCAGGACTGTTTAATACAAGTCCGGCTGCTGCAATTATGATATTTGTTTTGTTATGCACACACAATCTAACCAACCAAAGTGTATCTGCCTATCTCTCTACTTATTCCTATTTATTCTTTCTTTAAGCATGTTATAGCTGTGTCAGTCATAATTAGTTGTGATGTTATTGTCATATTTATTATCCTTGGGCAATGCCATCTTCTATAGTAGGCTTATACTGCTCCAATAACATCCTTAAACATACGTAATGTCACTTGTGTGAGTTTGTGCATGTACGTGTGCATATGTATGCCCTTGTGGGCATAATGTGCATTGGTGCCTGCATGAGAATTATACGCATGTAAAGTGTGGATTTTTGAATTGCACACACACACACACACACACACACAGACATACTTTGTTTCAATGTCTCTTGTCTGAGTGTGGTCAAATGTGGTGGTGGCTGGCAACGTGTGCCTGTACTACTTGAATACCGCTCAATATGCATGTACAAGCCATGGTACGAGCTCTATGTGTGCACAGTATGAATGTTACAGTGAGGCAGTCCAGTGTGTAAGATGGGGGAATGTGTTTAAAGTGGGCCTAATGGCTCCGGAATCAGAATTTCTGTGGTAGGAAAGTTCATGTCTGTGGATGAGTTGGTGGGAGAGTGTACATGTGTGTACAGGTGCGTGCACATCTGGTGTGTGTGCTCTCATAGTTTGGTGCTTGTGGCCTGCTTCACAAATAGAACATGGAAACTGCGTGTACAAAC